GGTTTCAGCAGAAATAACCCCCTCACGGCAGAAAACAGCTTTGGCATAAGTGTGCAGAGCCGAAAATGAGTTACCGACCCTTTTAATTGTTGTTGGGGAATACAAAAATATGAATGATTATTCTTCAGGATAAAAGTGACAGGACCCAAGGGAATGGCCTAAAGTTGTCTGGGGAGATCTAGGTTGGATATAAGGAAAAGGTTTTTCAGAGGGTGGTTGGGCACTGGAACAGGCTCTCCAGGGAAGTGGTCACAGCACAGAGCCTGACAGAGTTCAAGAGGCTTTTTGACAATGCTCTCAGTACATGGTGTGACTCTTGGGGCTGTTCTGTACAGGGCCATGAGTTGGACTTTGATGATCCTTGTGGGTCCCTTCCAACTCAGATTATTTTGTGTTTCTGTGATACGAGTTTTAGTGCAGTTTTGTGATTTGTCTGCATCACGTACAGTCAGATCTGATACACTCAGTTTTCTGAATTACTCAAAGATCTGTTTCAGAATATGCAGGAGTTGTTAAGGCAATATTGAACAAGTTTCTTACAATGAAATTACTTCTCTGTATTGCAGTCACAGTGAAAGTCAGCATGTAGTTCTGTACAAGCTTTCTTGTAACTCACTGCTGATAGTTTGGCTGGTTGGGACTGCATGTCTTGTCTTGTTATCATTTTTACTAGAAACAAATCTTTCTGGACACTGTAAAGCACCTCACAGCTCAGCTGAAATTTAAGAAGCCTAGGTGTTAGAAAATTTTGACCTAGTAAATGTCCCCAAAAGGCTATGCTGAATTTTTAGAACAACTTTTAGCACTTCAGGCTACAACTGAACCAAAGTAAGTTTTGCTTTCATACTGTACTTCCATTTTTTTCTACTTTTTCTTGCCCTCCCATTTGTACAATACATGAGTGTTTGTATAACAGCGTGATAAAGGAGGTCAAAAGCTGATCCATCTGAAAACCTTTATCCTTCCAGATTAGTTGTTTTTTTCAGCTCAACTGAGCAGTAATCATTTGAAAATTACCAAACTGACTTGTTTTGTGGATTTCATTGTATCTCTGTGCTTAGATTATTTTTCAGTGCAGCATTTTACTACTTTTTAGATAAAAGCAATAAAAGAAGTTCTAGTTGTATGTTATGATATGTTAGGCTAGAGATCTTATCTAACATATCAAAGGCACTTGTGGCTGGATTATGTTTTTTCACCTCAGTTCTGCATAGTTTGACTTCACAGTACTTGATGGTGTTTTCTTTATTTTGGGGTTTTTTCCTCCCACTGTGATGTGGATTGAGGAAACAGGAAACAGTGCAAATGTTTATTATTTACCCAGAACTATACCATTCTTGCTAGGAAAAACTACCAGGTATTTAATACTGGATAATTCCAGGCATACCAACTCAAATCCTCCTACTATTCTGTGGTTCTCTTCTATTTTTTAAAATATATAAAAGTTTGGTTGTTTTTTTTTTTTTATGAAAGCCCCCTTCTCTTATAATGAACAATGAATACTGCATCTGACACTTTATAATTCTCTCATCATTTGCACATCTTCCCATTTCTTCTTCAGCATTGCAATAAGAAGTTCAGAACTCTTGTATATCTACGGCTGTCTGGATTCCCGTGTACGAGCGTTGGTGTTCGCTGTGCGATGCTGGGCCCGTGTTCATGGGCTCACAAACAGTGCTCCTGGTACCTGGATTACAAACTTCTCCCTGACCATGATGGTCATGTTTTTTCTGCAGAGGAGATCGCCACCTATCATTCCAACACTAGACCAGCTTAAAGAGCTGGCAGGTAAGCACAGCTCTTTGTGTTTATTGCAGTTTATTGTTTATTGCACATTTGTTTTATCTAAAGTGATAAATAAACCCAAGCAATTTCTTTATGCTCTCAAATAGTAATGAATACTACTTGTGTTTTAAGTTTGAGGGAATACACACATTTTACATGTATTTTTTAGTGAAAATAGCACAATTTTAAAGGCACAATAAATCCCTTTTCAATACAATACCAATTCAATTTAGAGGGGTTAGACTTATTATGTCCCTTAGATAATTGAATGTAATTTACTTGTTCAGTGCTCCTATGCTGATTTTTTTTATTTTGTTATTTAGAAGACTTGTAGGGACTTGAAAGTTTCTGGAGTTAAGGATTTTGTGCAGGCTGATATGATGTGTATTGTTTTATACCTACCAAATGCTTAAAAGAAAGATTGTGTTTTCTCTTCCTAATTCGTAATATCCTTGAGACTGTTCAGGCCCTTTGCAAATAATTATTGTATCTCCACAAACAAGCTGTACTGGAGGTTCTTTACACAGCATTCAGGGTATGTTATCTTCAGTGAATTGTATTAAAACATTGAGAATGACACCCCAAGTTCGTTCTTGATTCCTTACTCATGTCTTCTGCTTATTGACATGATTCCTTGGAAGCTTTAAATGCTTGAAGGGGAGAAAGCAGTCTGTGTTCAGTTGTTTGAAAATAATTTTAACCACTTCCATCAGAATTCTGTAGAAATGTTTATACATAAAACATGTATTCGGATATTTACAAGAGTGTTTCTAGTTCTGTGAAGTTTTTCAGAAAAAGACAGTGAACGCTCTGGGTTTGATTTTTTTTAAACCCTCATGTAGGTAGTCACCTCAGGGAGTTGTGCTGTTAAGTGTGTAATACAGCCTCTATGCAGAGATACCCTGTTTGTTACTTATAAGTATTTTCAGAGATACGAAGATTCATTTTTCTTAGTCCTGTAGAATTTTAAAAATGTGTCATTTGCTCATGATGCTTTTCCTTTGCCCATCTATGGACTTTTTCCTTTTAAATCTTCTGCCACTTAATTTGAATCTTAACCTAAAAGTTCACTTGTGCATTCCTAATTTGATTTGTGTATTATGGTAGCATTGATTTCAGTTTGTTATATTAATGTTATTAAATACAATGGCATTTTACTGTTTGTTACTTCAAAATATGCCCACAATTTTTCTTTCAGATGAAAAAGACAAGCATATAATTGGAGGATATGATTGCTCATTTGTTAGTGATTTAAGGAAGATTAAACCTACAAAAAATACAGAAACACTTGGTAGGTAGATCTTCATAAATTTTTTTTATTTTATGACCACATTGAAAACAAACTTTTCCTTAATGTTACTAATGGCTCTTGTTTTTCTTTCCCCTTAGATGTATTGTTGGGCGAGTTTTTTGAATATTTTGGAAACTTTGATTTCAGAAAGAATTCTCTAAATCTTCGAAAGGTAAATGGATTTTAATTGCTCATCGGTATCAGTTGAATCTCTGTCTGCCATTTGACAAACTGCATATGCTAAGCAACAATTTCTGTCATCTTTAATTATATATTAAAAAAACATTTATATGAAAACCAAGTTCTTTCTTGTGAAGGAGGACTGTTTTCCTCTTGGAGCCCAGTAACTTGCAATTACATCGATAACATTTACAGTGTCATTACTTGGATATGCTGGAAAGCAGAAACTGTTGCAAAGCTAGTGTGATTTTAATGAAAAGCCCCATAATAAAAGTGGCAGTTTTAAAAAGTCAAGGCTCTTTTGCTTCTGTGGGAGGAAAGCTTTTAAAATGTCATGATGTCTGTCATAGCAAAAGTCTGTGACAACCCCTGTGAGCTGACAAGATTCGCATTTAAAGTTGGGAGTCCAGACCCAACTAGAGCCTACATTAAAATTTACAGCTGAGTTTTGGGTATGCTTTTGACACTGAAGTTTTCTGCTGCAGTTTGTATCAGCCTTCAGTATCTGTACTGCAGCTCAGTAAGCATACCATAGCATGATAATTCTGTGCTAGCACTTCGGTTTGCTTTACATGTTTAAGTCATCCTGTTGATCTGTGTGTGCATGCAGGTATAATAGGAATACATGAAAATGTAACCCCCATAACTTACACCTGTTCTGCTGAGCTGCTTCCAGAATGGGGTTTCAATGCCACATTGCTGTGTGGATGCTCTTTTGTTCTCTTTCCTATCTGGGCATTGTGGATCACTGGCTAAAGAGCCCTTTTTGCAGATTGATCCTAGAAACTGATTTATTAGGTGGATAACTTCTGTCTGCTGTTAAACCTGAAAAAGGCAAGCAAAAACACATTTGGAACCTGAGCTATTCATGGGAGGTATCTGGGCTGCTGTTGTTTCTCTGGCAGTGCTCTTGGCCCTGGGGCAAGTGTATGTAAGGTAGACACTTTCTGGACCAACAAGAGATGGTGGATTCCTGTTAGAGCTTGTGGCAGAGGTTCTGCTATACCGAACCAGTCAGCTAAGAAACACTGACAAGCATGAGATGGAAGTGCATTTAAATAACAATCTACATAGTTGTCAGCTATTTGTGTTGTACTACACCAGGTGCCTAACAGTGGACCTGAATAGCTCAGTGCTTAAAAGATATACCAAACAGGGAGGGATTTCAGCCAATGAAGCAATTTTGTTCACTTCTACCAGCACTGTGGGGTCTCTCTGAACAGTGTGGGAGGAATGGTTTGAACAGTTTAAGTGCGTGCATTATTTTATCAGACTGGGCTGTGCAGGTTAATACGATGCACTGATGCTGCCCATACACAAGTGGAATTACGAGTAGGAGGTTGCAGTAGGTGAGGTCTGAGGTTTGTTGGATAGCAAATGGGAGAATGGCCAAAAAGATAGGTTAAGCTGTAGTTGCGTGTTCTTTACCTTGAAGGATATCTAAGTTGAATGTGGCAAAGAAAACCATCACTGAGAGGATTCAGAGAACAGGAGTCATACGGTAAAGTTGACAGGAAAATTAACTTGATTAATAATGACTGTGTGTTTTGTAAAATGTTCTCTGATAGGTCAAAACACTTTTAATTCTAATGTAATAACTCAAGTGATTCATTATTGGTGCAGCTTATAATGTACATATGCAACTTTGGCTTTTTCTTTATGCTGTCTGCAGGGGAAGGAAGTAAATAAGCCTGAGTTGTCTCCTCTTTATATCTGGAATCCCTTTGAACAAGACCTTAATATCAGCAAGAATGTTAATCAGCCACAGCTGGAGAAATTTATAGCTATGGCCAGAGAAAGTGCCTGGATTTTACAGAAGGAAGATAAAACTCAGCAAATGATCAATAAAGAACCTTGGGGACTGGCAGCTCTACTGATACCATTTGGAAAAAATAATTCCAGCAAGATGAAGAATAGGATGAAAGGAATAGGAAGTGAAACAATCAGAAGCCTCTTGGACTCTTTAAAGTTAAATAATGCAAGCAGTCAACAAAAAGCAGTGGGAAAATGACTTTAAGAACAGAAACACAATATCTAATATTCTGTTTTAGGAATTGAATGTGAACATTACTTTTAATATTTCTATTATGGAGAATTGAGAATCAAGCAATCTCTGTTTTTCATCATAATGATTTTTGTACAGGTCTGCATTCTTTCTGTACATTTTTCTCCTCCTTACTCCTTACTTTTCCATCTGTTTTATGAATGAAGAGTATTCAAATGTAAGTTTTACAGATGCATTTTGGAAGTAGCCTTCAGTTGGGCACTCTTCTGTAAAAAAAAAGCTGACAGGAGCAGTATGGGAAAAAGCCTTTGGGAATTCTCTTGGCTAGCATACAAATGATATGCTAATTAAAAGCTCAAGAAACAACCACTTTTCCATGAAACCACGGTCTGAAAGAAGATAAATGTTTTGGAACCATTGTTTCCGATCCAGTGTTTTGGAAGCCAGTAAAACCGAAGTGCATGTATCTATTTTTGCAGTTGTTTTCCATTCACGTAGATAGTGCCAAGACAAAATAAAGGGAATGGAATTAGATAGTTGGGTGTGCAGTTTCATAAAGCATCGCACCACCACAGCTCTCCAAGGATAGTGCCACTGTTTTGTGTTGGAAAAGTGGGTTTGCTCTTGTGTTTACCACCTGATTTAAAATGTCTTTAGTTAGCTCTCCTTTGTTTTCTCTACCCAGGACTGGTCTCCACCCACACTTGTTTCTTATTTTGCCTTCAGCTTCACTTTAAACCTGTATTTCAGGTTCAGGCAGAGGTTCTTGAATGCCCTTCTTGCTTCATCATTCTCCCCAAAGCTGCTGCCTACCAGGTGATATCAAAGCATTCCTGCACAGGGATCTGTCCTATGCAGAGATCCAGAGAATCACCCCAGTCTTGCCTGGGTTTTCAGACATTCAGCAGAAGAGTGGCCATCCCCCTCCCAGATCAGCTGGGCCAACAGAGCCAATGCTTTTTGCTGACTTGAAACACTGAGTGCTCTTTGCCACAAAAAGAAGTCTTTTCAGAGGAAGGCAGAGAGGGGAGGGAAGGAAGGAAATGGGAAATGGAGAGCAGGCAAATATCAAACTTTAAAAGTAAATTTGTGAGTATTTCACTGTCCAGTTTGAGAGCCACTCATGCATTAAACTAAATGGTAGCACTGTTAGCAATTCCTCAGAGTGTTTTCTTAACAGGAATTCCATGAACGAAAATTACTGTATTCAGAGATAATAATATAAATGCAACATTAATTTATGATTACTGTTTCATTTTCAGTACTTTTAGATTCTTTAGTGTTGCACTGGTATACAATCTTGTGTAACTTTTTTCTAATGGTGTGATCTGAACAATTTATAAGTGTGTTTTCTCTTTTCTCTGATATATTATTCATTGGAAATACTGTGGGTAATAATAATGCATACTTCCAAATACTTGTAAAAACTGGGCAAGGAAAAGTATCTTCTAACGGTTGGCAAACTAAAAGGTTAGACCTTCAAGTCAATTCCATAATAGTTTCTTCAGAGTTTAAAATAATACTTGTATGTGTCCATTTCTGATTCATAAATGTTTTCTTAAATAATGACTCACATAGTCATTATCTTGGTTGCTGAAATTAATTCTCATATTAACGTCTTCAAGATTGAGCCTTGATTTTCTACCTAAATCCTGGTACTAGAACTTCTTTTTGGAGGCTAATATGAAGTTTATTGTAACTTGCTGTTGATGCAAACACAAAACCTTCGATAGCAAGCTTGACACAGATTCTGTAAGGAGCCTGCTGCTCCATTAACCTTTACAAAACCTAGAGGTGCATTGTCTGCACCACGAACAGACTATGTAGCTTTTTGAGGATTAGGGCAGTACTTGAGTACTTCAGAATTTTCGTTTTTTAGATTAACCAAATGGGTAATAGTGTAATAATAAGAATATGGGTTATCAGGGACAGAAGCATGCAGCAAAACTGTGGCAGTGTGTACCTAACTGCATTATATTCACAATGATCCACTGACATAGGTAGGAAATATTTAATAGGAATTTTGACACATATGTACAGGACACTTGTAGACAAATAACAGTGATTTTGTATTTTGGTTATATGGTTGAGCCATGCTGAAACACATGCTTCATTTGTAAGTGGTTATAGATGTTCAAGCTGCTTAGTATCCTTAAAAGGCAGGGCAGAACATGGTTACTGTACATTCAGCACCTTTCAGCATCACTTTTCTGTTTAGATTGCCTGTCCCTTTTGGGCATAGTTCTGAACCCTTGTCATGGCTGCAGGCCAGTATCTGAAAAGACCAGAAAGAAGCCAAAAGCAATGTTGTGGCACTGGAATGCACAGGTTATTTTTTCAGATATCTACTAGTCGAGGGAGCTGGTGACCAGGGAGCTGAAGCCTAGAGGCTGCAAGGTCAGCTCTCTTTGGTGAGGTAAATAAGCTCAGCAGGCAGCTTTCCTAGAAGAGGCTGTAGCTGGAGGGGGTGGAGGGCTGACCATGAGTTTCCCTAAAGTAGGAGTTATATGTGGGGAAGAGCTGAGTGCAGCGGAAGCCACCTGTGGGAAGAGAACCAAGACTTGAGGGGGTGTATTTTTGAAATCAAGAGAGATGGTATGATTATCATTTCCTGAGGGCAGCAGTCTTACAGTGAAGATATTTAGAAACCACCAATATGGTTCTGTCACTGAAAACAAGAGCTGGATGTATGTCAAGAAAGGACTATGATTATGATCTAGATTTGAGAGCTCATTCATATGCTCCAGAAACATCTTAACAATGTCCCTGCGAGAGCAAGGCACTAAGTTTAGTTACTTCTCAAACTTGGTGCTGATCTGCTGTATTGTATGTTGGGGCTGTTTGGGAGGTCACAGGTAAGGAACACCACTGAATTAAAGACAATTTTGTCTCTCTGCCCCTTTCCCTCACTGGAAATACTTTTTAGTGCAAGTCTCATATTTCCTGGCTCTTAAATGGTAAGGGAAACTGAAAACATTCAGAAGTTCCTTGTCCTGAGAAAATATGGTTTGGGATATTAACTTCAGAGTTAATGTTTGTTGCCAGGGATTTTAATTTTATTTTCCTAGATGTTTGACGCTCACAAGTGTTGCAGGAATAGATTCTGCTGCAATTGCCACTGTTCCTCATTCCTGTATAGCTTCCAGGGAATCTGTAGCCTTGGCCTGCAGTTGACTCCTGGGTGAACATCATAGTGCCATGCTTGTGAGGATGCAGTCTCAAAAGACTTCTTGCTACATTTTCTGTCTTGGGTTCTCTTATTTAGACTTGGAATCATGGTATATTTCAGGCTGGGAGAGAGCTCTGAACCTAGTCCAGTTTCCTTCTTAAGTGGTATCAGCTGTGAGATCAGACCAGGACTTTTTATCTAGTCAGACCTTGAAAATCTCCAAGGATGGAGATTGCACAACCTGTTCTAGTGCTTGACTGTCTCCATTATTTTGGTGGCTGGGCTGAAATATGCTGCTCTATCAAAATGCTGTCTACTACAAGTGTTCAAGCTGCTCCTTTTTTTAGAAGGCCCCAAGTCTTTCCTTCTTTCCCTGTCTTTCCAGGAGGAGCACATATCCATCCATCACATGCAAGCCCTCCTATCGTAGCTGTTATTCCCACAGCACAAATAGTATTAACACCACAAGGAGTTCTAACTCCTCCTGCTTGTTCCCTAGGCTGCCACACATTTGTATCTGTACATTTTAGGTGAGTACCTGTTCATAATATGTTATTATTCTTGAGGTCCCTTTTGTTCCTGTTATCCTGTATCCTTTTCTCTCAATCCATGTCCACAATTGTGGCATAACTGGGGGCTCTGGTTTTCCTCTTCTTTGTTCTAGCTGATTGCTTTGATATGGCCACTGTTTGTATCCAGATTACAAAGTCCTCATGACACTAAATCCTGAGTAAAACTTAATTCCTAAAAGACTCTGCAGGAAAAGAAGAGGCCTCAAGTAGCAGACTGGTGTATTGCACTGGCAGAGAAGCCCCAGAAAATACAGTGCCATGCAGAGATGGTGATGCAGGTGCAGAATCACCTCAGGGCACAGTGCTGTGGCTCTGGGAGCTTGTTGCTTCCACGTGTGCAGTAGTGTCGTACAGGATGCTGCTGCCCAGCAGAGCTTGTCCCACTTGGATCTGACACATCTGTGGTGCTGTGTCACTTCTAAGTCCAGAACAGTCAGGCTCTCAGCCACCACCTCACTCTGCTCCATGCTTGTGCTGGTCATGGAGGAATTATGTTCTTAGAACAGAAAGTCTTCCCTCATAGAAACAAATCTGCAAGTTCATTTTCTTTTACGCTCTCCAGAGGTACAGGCCATGTTTTTGCTTAACAAAATTTTGTACTTTGGAGAAAGAAAAGGTAGACAAAGAACCTCTATTTAATTTTGCAAACAAACTAGTGAAAGGTTCATGACATGTTCAACTGAAGAAAGTTTAAGGTTTCCAGCCTGGGCTGCTTTAGAGATACGATGAATCAAAAATTAGGAAGCTTTTCAAAGTAAAGTCATATTGTTCACTGGAAAGTTCTCTTCCAAATGCTTTCCCTTGCTTATCACAAAATTACCACCAAGGTTCTCTTCTAGTACTAAATTAATCTAAACATCATGGGTAAATTGGGGTCAGTTTGTTTAAAACAAGGGTTAGGATTTATTTGAAGCTAACCTGTGCCTGGAGATAAAATCTCCTTCTCCATAAATCCTCTTAGTTGAAAGTCTTGATCCACTGCTTTTGCAGACCTGTTTCTCATACTTTCCTTAAGCAGGGGATTGGTTTGCTTTCTTTTGCAGGACCTGCCTGCTTCTTTTCACCCTTCCCATTGTCTTTTCATTGTATCTGACCTGTAAAAAACATAGTATTTCACTTCCCATAGTATTTTGTGAAACAATAGTGAATACAGCTGTATTCAAGAAACAGGTCATTTTCAAATCACATTGCAATGTGATTTTTTTTTTACTTCTTAATTTCTTGTGATTTTTTTTTTTTTTTTTACTTCTTCATTTCTTGCATAGAATGAATCTCCACACTGCATTTCCCATGGCTCATAGAGGGATCAATTAGCTGGACTTGATGGGTGTCACCTTTATTAAACATGTATTTTTGGGAAGTGTCCTCAGTAAAGAGACTTGTTTAACACAGTCTGTTATATTAGAAAGCAGAAGTTCCCTGCAAATTTTTGCTCTACCCTTCAGGATAAATTCTGTTTTCCCTTGTTGTTATGGGGAAGCCATGTTCAATTTGTTTCACAGAATGACTTCAGTGATAGGTTTTTGTTCCCATGCTGAGCTTTCTTGTGCATACAGATTTGTAGTCAATGTAAACAGTGCAGCCCTGTACAGGAATTTTGCATGGAACAACTCCCAGAATATGTCTTGTAGGTATTATGCTCACAGCCCAACAGGGGAGGTAGAAGCCCCAGAAATTACTAAGGCATAGCCTCTCATTTGTGGTGCTGACTCCATGAGATGGAACAATTTCCATAATTCTGTGTTTCTTTTTCTCATGTTGGACAGAGGAAAGACATTGCTTTTCTTCAGAGAAAAAGTAGACATGTTAGAAGTTGGATTGTTGGGATAAACAGCCAAAGTACGTACATTCTTTCTGAATATTTCTATCTGAGGTTTGGTTTTCAAAACCCCTTCTCTAGGAGCAATTTCTAGAGATTTTCAGGACAAGAGAAAGAACTGGGAGAATACATAGAGGCTTTGTAGTTCAGGCAATCAGATAAATGGTACTTACTATTAGATTAATTATCAAAAGTAAGTGCATAGGCGACGATAGCACATGTAACAATCTGACAATATCAAGTACCACTGTCTTGTCTCCTTGAACCAGTTTTCCTGCCTCAATTTTCTGTAGTCCAGTGGGGCACTACTTTTATAGAGGGATGGGATTTCAGAGAGTGTACTATATAGGAACTATGGTATCCAATACATGGGAGGGTGAGTACTTAGCTATTGTAGTAGATGAAAAGAAGCTTTACCAACTCCATACTGAAATAAGATTCAGATTTTTTTTTTTTATTCCAGAATTAAAATATATAGAATTGTTCGGTGAATCCTTACATGATTCATAGTTCTTCCTTTTTAAAATTATCTTTGGACACCAATCAAAATAGGGTTTGCTGTAATTGCTTGATGCCTGAGCTTGCAAAGTACGGTCTCATTTGAAATGATCATGATCTGTTTTGCTGAGACATTAAAGACCTTAGTGATTACAGATCTGCTCGAAACTGTTTAAGAGGGTTTGCATTACAGTTGGCTTATGAATCTGGAATATTATCATTTTCAGTTATCCTAAGAATGCAAATGCTTACAGTTAGCAACAGACTTTACCACTTCTGACTGTTACCATTAGGCTGTTACATTTTAATCCTTCTTTTTACTGTAGACAGTATTTTCAATCTTTGAACTATGTTGCAGCAATTAATTTTATATTTCTTCTATGAGATAATAAAGAAAAACATGTCCTTTGTATCTGTTCAGTAAGTTACTGTTCTGTTGTGCTGTTGAAATCTTTGATAAGATAAAGAATAACGTATCTGGTGCTTTCCTTCTTCAGATGCAGGCAGAGATTACAGAAATGAGGATGCATTTCAAAGAGCAATGGTTTTGAAGTGTTGTTCTCTAAATGCCTCACTCTACAGAGCTCACCAAAGAAGTAAGAAAACAAACCCCCAAAAAAGTAAATCTCATTGTCAGCCAGCTTCAACTCACCCAAGAAACATTTTTAACTTTGGAGATTTTCCAAACAGAACAATTGTCAAACCAAATGCCATCAAGTCATTGTTGGAGATGGAGTGCTTCTTGCCTTCCAGAATCACTTTATGATTAATAATTTGTTTAAGTAAATGGTGGTCTGTGAAGAGTATGTCTCTGTCACTTAAAAAATACAGTTTCTAATGAAGAGAGTAGAAATAACACTTTGGATATCTGACAAACTCTGTGAGATATCTCTTAATGGGAAGAGAAGAATTTTTTTTCTAGCTAGATATCTAAAGTTCCTGAACTCTGTCCTGGCAAAAAACTTGCTTTTTATCCTTATAATTTATAAAGAGGGAATACAGGCATCTCTGTTTGTCTTGATTTAATTTTATCCCACATGTATAGGGTTACAAGTATGTGGCAGTTAGGCATAAGTGATAGAATTTTATGCTCCAAATGCTGGTAAGAGAGAAGCTTCAGATCACATAGATTAATGCTGGCTTGATTCAAAGACACCTAGTCCAAATCTCCTGCACTTTTTTTGATCCCACCCACCATTGCAGCAGAAGACCATAAATATTCACAACTGCCAGCTGCTCACTCGTAGGGATGACTTCCTGTGGGGTTAATCTTCCTAAGCCAATAGCAACCTTTAATTGCCAAGCTGACCTAGGGACTTCTGAAGCTTGAGAATGCAAAGAATGGTTTGCCATCTTCATATCCCATTCCTAGCAAAACTTTTTTCCTCCTGAGTCTAGTAACAGGAGGACATATCCCTAAATTTTTTCTCAGATGCAGAAATACTGAACAATGGTGCTATAGCATGGCCATTTCTATTCCTCAGATTTGTGCAATGTATGGGTTTCTGTGTGTTTTTATCTAGCATTTTTACTCTGTTTTTCAAAAAAGATTGATGAAATTTTTTGGTTGTTTTTGTTGTCCTTGGAGTTTAATAAGCTAGAGCCTTTAGAGCTGTGCTTCATTTGTTCCCATGTTTTTCCTGGCAAAGAGTAAAATTCAAAGCTGAGCCTTTTTCTGCTGGATGTTTTTCTTTTCTGTGATAAACACGAAGTATGCAGTTGATGTCATGAGAGCAGTAGGTGCAGGATTCAGCTGACACTTCCCAGCAGAAAAGTCTCCATCTTGCCAGGCCTTTGAGGAGACATGACAATGATTCATTTTGGTGATAACACAGTAGGAACACAAGTCCAATTGTTTGCTATGTAGGTCAGAATGGGATATGTTGGCATCTTTGTTCGCAGACTTTACAAAGATGTCTGAGAATGGGAAGCATGACAGCAAAAAACCTATTCTGATATAACTTAAATTGTTCTGCTGATGGAAGTAGTCTATGAACAGTTTGCTGTCTAGCTATCAGAGCTGAACATTGTCTATATATGAGGAGGTTTAATTTTCCACATTAAACAACTCATTTACTCTTTACCCAAACTCTGCAATTAAAGTCTGCCTCTGTGCCAAGGAGAAGGCCCTTAGAATTGCTCAGTCTTGCCGTTCCAGTGTGAGTTCTTTACAGCAGCTGATGTACATGATGTACCTAAAAATCAGAGGAAATTGACAGTTCACTTGGTTAGCTCAGGAGTTTTCTTGCAGCCTTGTGCCTTTTAATGTCTGTGCTTCAGAAACTTGTTCAGCAGTCATTTTTGGGTTTTGCTTGTTCAGTCAAAATTGGCTTTGGGAATGTAATATTTTGTAACACATTAAAACATTTTGCTGCACACCCCATTGCACATCATGCAGGAGAACGACGTGCCTTTTTATGGGAATCTACCAGCTCTCCCCTGATGTCTGCTCCCTCTAGGAAAGCCTCTGGTTATTGAAGATGAAGAACAAAGATTTGCTCTTTTTCCCTATGCGAGTGCTCCAGTGGAGGGCCCTGGGACTGCTTTTGTTTGGTATGTTTGGATGGTGTCATGCACTCTGTGGAACTGGCTTGTGCCTTTGCAAGCACATCATGTTCTCACTTCCAGGTTTGTCCCTCTGATCCTCTGTGTTCATCACCTACATAAACAGCAGCATTACTGCTAATTCTGCTCTACAGCTAGGAGAAGCTGAGGCACCTTCCTATTTTGAGGAGAACAACTCTTTCCCAAATAATTAATCTCCTTTGAATTAACTGTCAGTTTTTCTCATACCAGGGAGAGAAATGTGAAATATCTTACAGCATTGCTCAAATATATGTTGTGACAAACATTACAACCAAAACCATCCAGGTTTTTTTATGTTCTGCACCACATACATTCAAGGAAAAATATTCTCTCTTTGTCACATGTCTTGAGAGCTGAATAGATTTTTGAAGCAGTTGGAGGTAGTGCTGCAAGATCAAAGATGTACTGTGTACCATGTACTATTTCTTTCTTTTTAAAAGAAGGAAATAAATTCTAATGGCTGAACATAATGTTTTCTGTGATCATACTTTGTCTTGACATGTTTATTAGCACAATGTAGACTTTTATAAAACTTTTCCTCCCTCTATCAGTCTTAAGCATTTATAACAATTACTTTCTCTGGGGTTCTGTTGGTTATCTTATGAAAATCTGTCTCATACAGGAAGGACACCCAGTTAGGTGATAATAAGTTTGAAATAACAATATGAGCAATGATTTGAGCTTGCAACACAGTTCAGAAGGGAAGTGGGTGGTAACTGATATTTTTATTTCAGCCTCATCAAAATAATTCAATTGAATCTATTTTTTTTATTGTGGGTGAGGCTTGTTTCAAAATAAAAACCAATCCAACAGGGAAATTCTGCATACATGCCCAAAGGTGAGATTTCTATTCTAGGAGGGCTAAAGCCCTAGACAGTGTTTGTGGAAGTATCTGTCACTTAATGCCTTTCCACAGTAGTCCCTAGCTGAGGATCTCGATTGTTCTTGATTATGAAGAAAGACATAAATAATAATTATGGGAGGGGATTTTTATTTCTGTTTCTGCACTCTTATGTGAAATGCATGCCAGCACATATCAGAGCACCACATTCTGATACAGAGAAGCATCTGTATGTAAATGAACTTGAGTTTTCAAAGGGCTCCAGTGTTGAGTCCCAAATCTTTTCAGCAACTTTGAAAATTCACTAAAAAAATCAATTACAGAATAGTTTATGCTGGGAAGAGGAAACGGAGCATGTCCTCTCTGAAGCATCCCGCTGTGATGAATGGCCAGTGGGTCTGGTGAGCCAGTTGTCTGTTCCAGTTTGGTCTTTGTTCCTGTAAATGAGCCAGTGTATATCTGGAAGAAGAGGAAGTTGTCTGGAAATTTGATCCAACAAATAGCTCCATTGTTGCTGTGATAAAAGCATAGAATGACTATTTCAAATGTTTAAATAACATTTTTATTTTTAATTAAATAAGTTATTATAGCCTTCTTTAACACTGCCATTACTGTTTGTTTGTTGGTGAAATAAGTTTAAAAAAAAGGAGTATAGATCATATGCTACACTCTAATCTTTCCATATAAATATCTCTAAAACCAGAGTAAGAAGTAGCATAATAGAATAAAAAAACATCTTTTGCTAAATCTTTTTCACACACATTTCGACATCCAGGCATAAAGATTGTATTTAGATTTGGATGGTGTAATAATTGCTGTTATATTAGGCTATTTTTATATGCATTTATTTAATGCACTAATCTAAATAAAGTTACTTTTAAGAAGTGCTAGGTTTGGTATGATTCCTATAAAAATTAAGAGAAATGGAGTCCCCTTTGATTTTCTCCTTTGGCGAGAAAGGTGCTGCTGAGAAGATGCTCAAAATCCTGACATTGTTCAAAGCTGGATATCTCAGCTGCTCATGAAAGTTTTCTTGTTCCTCCCTCACAGTTCTAAGGCATTTTATACACATCTACATACAAGGATTTTTTTTTTTTTTTTTTTTCATAGCTGATCAGTGGAGGTAGAGTAAGGAATTTTCCCATAATCAGTAAAAAAGAAAGATATTAGATTATTCTATTCTGCTGTAGTCTAACACAAGAGTGGCTATACTACTTCATAGTGGCTATACCACTTCATCCTCAAGTGAAACCTGTCAACAGCAAAAATGCACACGTTCTCTGGTGGCTCAGCACACAAGACAAAAAAACGCAGGAGACTTCTCTGTGCCTCTGGAGGGAAACTTGTGCTGCACCTCCATGAGCCCCTTCTGGCTGTAGCTGCTCGAAGGCAGCAGCTTCGCACACCCCTTCAGCTGAGGTTTGCACATGTTTTAGCTGAGTTTGGCACAACTTTTTGCAGAGTTTTGCACACCTTTTAGTGGAGTTTGCACACCTTTTAGCAGAGTTTTGCACATGGCTTTAGCTGAGTTTGGCACACCTTTTAGTTGCGTTTCGCACACATTTAGCTGAGTTTCGCACACATTTAGCTGAGTTTCGCACACATTTAGCAGAGTTTTGCAAACCTTTTTAACAGTTTTGCACACATTTAGCTGAGTTCCACACACCTTTTAGCTGAGTTTGGCACACCACTTAGCTGGGTTTCATACACCTTTTAGCTGAGTTTC